CTTGGTGTTTTAGCTTCTGAATAAAAATCGATATCTCCTTTTAGACAAATGCAACAAAGTACATTTGTTCTGAGAAGTCTAATTTTATGAATTTCTAAGTCACTGGAACTGGTTAAGCAGATAAGAATTTGTAGAAATAGATAGCATTCCCACAGTCAATATATTCAGGCTTATTGTTTTTCTGTTTTATAGTTAATATCTAAAGGTGGAAGTTAGGGACAAAACGTGGGTTTTAAGCTAGGAAGTGATAGGATCTTTTTTTTTTTTTTCTGGAGAGGTTTTTGCTATAGGGCACATGCACAAGATAGGGAGAGACAGACAGAAAGCAAGAAATCACCTCCCAGGGTGGATGGCCACGGTTCAATCCCTTCTCCTCCATTCTCCTCTCAGGATCTTGAGCATGCACTTACATGTACCCAGTGAGTTTAAGCCACCGGGTCCATCTCTAGAACCGTGGTTGACTACATGGGAGTCCAGCGACATAGCCATTATGCCATCTGCTGGTCCCCAAGGAAGTGATGTGATCTTTTTAGTCAAAAACCACTCTTTTTTTTTTTTTTTAACCCTGCTGTTTGGAGAAAGGACTATAATCAGAATGGTTGTACATTAGGGTGGCCAGTTAGGAGACATAGTCTGAGTGTGACAATAAAGATGGAGAGAAGTAGGGATATATTTTAAAAAGAGATGATAGAAGTTGAAGATGGATTAGATAAATAGGGGAGTGAGAGAGGGGAATCGGGGGAAACTCTGGGAGACATTGGAGTAGGCAAAGACCTTAAATAGGACAGCCAGTGCACAGGCAATGATACCAAAAATAGGCAAGTGGAATTATATCAGATTAAGAAGTTTCTGCATAACAAAAGACAGAGTAATTAGTGTAAATTGACAACCCTTGTAATGGGAGAATCTTTTTGTAAACTATGCCTAAAATAAGGAACTGATAATCAGAATACACAGGGAACTCAAGCAGCTTACCAAAAAACAAACAAACAAAACCACAAATTAACCCATTTAAAAGATAGGAAAATGAACTGAATAAACACCTTTCTAAGAAAGACATATGAACAGCCAAAAAGCATATAAAAAAATGCTCAGCATCCCTCATCATAAGGGAAATGCAGATCAAAACCACAATGAGATACCACCTAACCCCAGTCAGAATGGCGAAGATTAAAAATACAAAAAAAGGTAAGTGTTGGTACAACTGTAGTGAAAGGAGAACTCTCCTCCACTGTTGGTGGGAATGTAATTTGGTCCAACCACTGTGGAAAACAATATGGAGGTTCCTCAAAGACCTACAAATAAAACTACCATTTGATCCAATAATACCTCTCCTGGGTATCTACCCAAAGGTGGAGAATGCTCAGTAGGAAAAGTGCTTGCACATCTATGTTTATTGCAGCATTATTCATGATTGCTAAGACATGGAACCAACCTAAATGTCATGAACAGATGATTAATTTTAAAAGTGTGGTACATATATTCTATGATATACTATTTAACCATAAAAGATAAGACCCTAGCATTTGATAGAAAGTGGATGAATATGGAAGATGTATTGCTGAGCGAAGCAAACCAGGCTATGAAAGAGAGACATTGTATGTCCCACACTGTCTCAAGTTATGGACACTGGAGACAGTATGGGAGGAGAGGGGGAGAGGGGGAGAGATAAGGGAGGGAAATTAGGGAGAAAAATAGGCAAGACATTTGTGGGACATGGAAATGGTTTATTACCTGTTGATGATAATGAATATAGCATCCT